ATAACTACGGTGACCAGATTTCCGTGGACAAAAATCGGGACATTTCTAAAGCATCCAATCCGAACATATAATTTTGTTTTTAGAATAAAAAGACATAACATCTTATAATACATGTTTACACACAATATATGTATATACGTTGGCGACAGTGTAATTTGGAAAAGACATTTCAGCAAGTTTTGGCTACTGTCCCTTGTTTAAAAAATGTTTATTAGGTTTTTATGAAAATAGCTCACTCTCTAAAAAAGCATGTAAATCCAAATTTCAAACTTTATAAAACATTTACAAAAATTCGACGAATTTTAACAAATGTTGATAAAAATTTTTAACTTTTTAATCAGATTTTTAGAATTTTTTTTTTGACATTTAGTTTTGTAGCCCAATAAATTGCGAAGTTCGAAGAAGCTTGGACTTTCCGTTGATTTTGGATTTTGGAGAAAATTACCAATACCTTCCACAAAAAAATTACCAAAAATCAAGAGTAAGTCCTAGCTACTTAAACTGCATACTCAAAATATTTCTAAGAAATCGCATTAAAAAGCTCAAAATTTTGATGAAACTTTGTCGAATTTTGCTAATTCTTATACAAAGTATGATTTACATAGGTTTTTGTTACATAATGAGCTACTCTTTCATAAAAAAATAATAAACATTAAATAGTCGAAAGTGAAATAGCCAAATAATGCTAAAATGCTTCTTCCCTATTTACATATATATATGTACATATTTACTGTATTTGCAGCTTATATTTTTCATATTTATGAATTTTTTTGAAAAATTAGTATTATTTTTTATAATCTCACTAAATTCAAGTTAAAATCGTTTCATTAAAAAAAAAATTAAACAAAAAACTTAAATAAAAATGAAATAAAAAAATGATGAATGCAATATAGCGGGAGTATCAGTTTGAAAGAATAAAGCATAGCCTTAGATCATAGAAAATAAGGATGCTGGCTATGTTTAAGGTTTCCCTATAATCTATGTCCTTTGCAGGGATCGAAAATAATTGTTTTTCTTTTTTTTAATTGCAAGTAAAGATTACGCAAAAAATTCCCTTTGTCTGTTTTGGGGAATTTTTAACCATTATCGTAAGATATATTTAATTTTGGTCATCGCAACCAATATAAATGAGAAAATTGGAGAATGAGAAATTTGGTGCATAGGACAAATGGGTATGGAAAATGCCCTTTACAAATTTTGTCCTTAAATATTTTTGAATGTTTGCAATATTTATTTTTTTTAATTGCCAACATCTGCATAAACTCCTGTTTATTTTTATCAGAATCAGTGGAGGTTATATTTCCTTCTCTAACGGCGTTTTTACCTGGGATTTTGTCAAGATTTGGCGTAAAGCCCAATATTTTTGCTTCACACGATTGGGCTACAGAGTTGCACAAAATTCTATGTTGCTATTAATAATAATAATAATAATAATAATAGATTGGCGCTTACACATATGTTAGTGTTTGGCCGAGCTTCTCCTCCGATTTGTGGCGTGCGTTTTGATGTTGTCACACAGAGCGGAGGGACCTACAGTTTTACGGCGACTCCGAACGGCGAATGTATTTTTATGAGAAATATACTCGGAGGTTTGCCATTGCCTGCCGAGGGACGACCGCTGTTAAGAAAAAACCTTTTCTTTTATATATTTTTTGCGCTGTTGCTTTGACAAGGGTTTGAACCCAGGCGTTGCGGAGTGGAAGCGCGCACTGCTTACCACTACACCACAGCTATTATGTGTTCTAAAGATGAAGGAAATCTGACCATAAATTTTAAGGATAGCTCTCAATTAGAGATGGGCGCGGGACCCACGGTACTGATTTCAAAATGGCCGGGATGAGAGGTATCGGGAAGGTCTGAAAAATTTTACGCAGGGAACAGGACCAAAATCTTTTCCCGATATTTTCCTAAAAAATTTTTATAAAATATGCACTTTGTTGTGCAAAGCAAAACAAAATAATCGGGACATAATATTTAGTCCCACGCCCATCTCTACTCTCAGTCCCTTCGTCACCTAACGGAAGTCAAACACATGATCCTTTTTAAACTCAATACACAAAATAACAATCACACATAAGTGGTTCCAGATATAAGCGATATGGAAATTGCATTTTGTAAGCGAGGTGCCTCATCCCCGTTTCAAATGCACATGACGTTTCGCCATAAGTTCGTAGAATTCTACTTACTGTGTTTCCGAAGAAGGGGGGCTGAACACATTTTGCAGAGAACACCTTTCTGCGTTCGGTACCATATGCAGCTGTCTCAAATTTCAGATTGTTAGCATAAGCGGCTACACAGATAAGCGATATGAGATTTTAGTTTGTATGGCAGGTGCCACGCCCCCTTTTCCAAAACCCACCACTTGTCGCCGTAAGTATGGTATGTGGCTGTGTCAAATTTCAGGACGTTAGCATTAGGCATGGTGCACATTAGAGCGATACGATATGCGATATGAAAGCGATATCGACATGCGCGTAGTGCACACTAGACCGATACGGCATGCGATGCGACACGCGATATCATGTGCGGTGTTATAGAAAACCGTGTCGCACGGCCGATACACATGCGATATTATATCGCAGCAGTGTCGCACAGCCGATACACATGCGATATTATGTCGCAGCAGCGTCGCACGGCCGATACGCATGCGATATTATGTCGCAGCAGTATCGCTGACGTGCAAGTGTGCACAGTTGTCATCCTTTCCTACCAATTTACACGTACTCAACATGTCGATGGCTCATTCGTTACGTATCGCGTATCGTATCGCATATCGTATCGCTCTAATGTGCACCATGCCTAAGAGGTCTCAGAGATAAGCGATATTACAATTTCAGTTTATATGGGGCGGTGCCATGCCTCCCTTTTCCATTATCTATTGATTATTGATAGCATATGTTGCTGTGTTAAACTTCAGAATGTTAGCATAAGCGGTTCCATATATAAGCGATTTGAGAATTTGAGTTGGTATGGGAGGTGCTACGCCCTTTTTCCAATACCTGCTACTTTTCGCCATAAGTAAGGTTTTGATAGCTGTGTAAAATTTCAGGACGTTAGCATAAGCGGTTCCAGAGAAAAGCGATATGAGAATTTCAGTTTTATGGGCGGTGCCACGCCGCCTTTTTCAATACCTACCGCTTTTCGCCATACGCAAGTTATTCATAGCGTAAATAGCTGGGTCAAATTTCAAGGCGTTAGCATAAGCGGTTACAAAGAAAAGCGATATGAGAATTTCAGATTGTATGGGAGGTGCCACGCCCCCTTATTCAATACCTACCACTTTTCGCAATACGCACGTTATTGATAGCGTTAATAGCTGCATCAAATTTCAAGTCGATAGCATAGGCGGTTCCAGAGAAAAGCGATATGAGAATATCAGTTTGTATGGGAGGTGCCAGGACCCCTTTTCCAAAATCTACCAGTTTTCGCCATAAGTACGTATTGATAGTGTATGTGGCTGTGTAAAATTTCAGGACGTTATCATAACCGGTTTCAGAGAAAAGCGATGTGGGAATTTCAGTTTGTATGGGAGGTGGCACGCCCACTCTTCCAGTACCTACCATTTTTCGCCGTAAATAGGGTATTCACAATCTGCATCCGTGCTGGGTGTCAGTTCACCAGCATAATTGGTTTTAGAGATATAGTGGTTTTCATATTTTAGTCTATATGTCAGATGCCACGCCCCCTATATATCGGGGTTAACATTTCCGTATTAGAGGAAGTTATATCCTTTAAATGGGTGTATGTTCCATTGAAACCGAGCGAACGGTACTCTCAAAAAAGGTAGTTCAAAATTTTCTTGTGGCGTATTTATATCTTTGGCCATAAGCAATAACCGCTTAAATCGAAAAACCTTATTTCGAGAAAAACGTTTTCAACATTTGGGCTGTAATGTTAACCTTATGGGGAAACCAAAATATGTTCGTCTATGACTTCATAAATAGCCTGGCTGGCGAGATGGGGATTTCACATACACATGGAATACTAGTTGCAGAATACCATAGCATATATAACTAATTTCTTTCTTAAGTCGACTTAGGCGGTTATTGCTGTGGCACCGATATATACATTAATGTACAGGGAATGATAGTTACCATCTTTAAGAATATTTAAAACTTTTAGCAGGTCAATAAATTTATACAAATGTGACTTTTTTAGTTTTGTCCAAAAATGTAGCCCGCATTGGCGAAAACCATAACAAAATCAAACAGGTAATTTTCGAGTTTTACGCGTTTAGACAGACACTTCATTTTATAATATATATAGATTTCGTCGTTAGGATCGTATCCATAACGAAAGTGTGGTGCTCACGATTTACATATTTTGAATCTAAGTACATATTTATTTAACATTCTTATAATTTTTACGCTATGCTGTATGTAGGATGTATGGTTATTGCAGACTTTTACACAAATAATTTCTTCCACATGGTTTTTATTCCTAGTATTTTTGGTAATTGCAGACAATTACTATAACCTCCCACCAAGTATCTACCTTACTACGAAGCTGAAAATCTTAGTAGATAAGAGAGTTTTTGAGAAAGATAGAATGTTTCGATTGGAATTTAAAAAAGAGACACAGACATTAGCGTGCTTGCAAAGAGAATTTCAACTTGAACCCATTTGTTTAACAAACAATAAATATTCATTTGGTGATGCGAGTCATTAAATTTTCTATACGTTACACAAAGAACAGTAACAATAGTTAAATTCCGAATAAATTCACCAAACAACGAGCTTGTGAAAAGAACATTTTATTTACAAACAGAGAACACTTCAGTTCACGCATAATTGCGAAGTATATATGTACATATTTACTTGCTTCATCAACAGGCAGAGAGTACTTCGTTTTGTAACACACTTGCGAGTACGCCTGTCACAACCCGAACTCATAGAATGCCTCAAGGCGTATAGGCGACTTGGTACAATAGACTCGAGAAAGAGTTTCTCATTGGTGAACAATAGCCGACGAGTCGACGTGTTCGCTAATTCAACACAGCCGGCTGCCTCTACTGGTGCGCACTTATACACCACACAAAACTTCAAAACCATAATTGCCCTATTGGTAATCCGACGATTGCGTACTTTACCATCGTCAGTGAACGATGCAAGCGGAATGTAAGTTCTGTGTAGAATTGTATTATACTTTAAGGCCCTTAGAAGCAGTTGCCTGCCTTCTAGCCGTAACCGAAGGGTTGAGAGCTCTCGGCTGAACTTCGTGTTGTCATCTACCGCTGTTTGCACCACTGTCATTTGCCATTTGATGCGGCACACACATCCGGTATGCTAAGCTCTACGCTCATTGCTCGTATATAACAGTACTCGGCGGCAGCATTGAGTTTAGTATTCGTGTTATATTCACAATGTGCGCTTAAAAACAGTGCTACAACGACGGTCGGTTAATGAACAAGTAAACTTAAGTATAAAAAAATCAAAGAGATTTGGTTGAACAAGTCAGTCAATCAACCTACTGTATATATTGCGATGAGAAATCGAAATAAAAATCAACAAGCTACATAAGAAAGTGATTTGAAATTGGAATCTGTTTAAAATTTAAATGTAAAATGTATTTTTGTAAAATTACAGCTTCGTTGCAAATAAGTGGAAGTAGTTATTATTAAGTGCCCCCGGCGTTCTTAAAAAATGTGAAATTAATTATACGCCGGGATTCTGCACAGTAAAAAAATATATATAGATACAATTGTATATATTCGAATTATGTTAATATGCAGATATTTGCGATTGCAGTTTCGGAAAATCGGGATATACTCCATTGCTCTACTTTCGTAGGGTTAAAAGTGAGCAGTACAAAGAGCAGAACGAAGTGAAATTCAGTTAAACAAGTCGAAAATGTATACATAAATAAAAGATTAAAAGGCAGAGGCTCTGTATGGAAAGTGGAGTGGGACCTCTATGTAATTACGGGAATCTTGCACAAATTGCAAGGGAATAAATTGCACTGTACCCCATTTTTTTGTTCACAGCCGCCCGCCCCAAGATGCCAATAAAATATAGAATTTCGTTTGTTAAGTTTGTGTGCGGTAAATCGTAAGTTTCTTTGTTTATGCGGGCTGCTGGTTGATGCTTTCATTGTTTTGATTCGCTATACTCCGCGTCAGTGTATATCCGCAATCAGTGTTCCTTCTGAGTTTTCTCAGTGCTTACCTTTCAAATATAACTGCAACAACATACCTAAGAGTGTATATACATATGTACATATAACTAGTATGTATCTGTTTCTAGTAAAATCATTTTTTCGGTGTGTCAGTGTAAAAAAGAAATGCGACTCAGAATAAGGCGTCATGCAACAAATTGTTTTCCGGTGGCTTGCCATAATCTGAAGACAGCATATGGCCAAACAAGTATGTTTATTTTTAAATGCAAAATCAGTTGCGTTCCCCAACTTTTCAGGGCTAAAACCTGTAAAACTGTCAAAAGGCAATAGAAGCCAGAGAGCCGAGTACGGGAACGCTTTCTGGCAAATTCCTGTAAATTCTTGCAACTTCTTGCGAGTTAGGGAACCCAACTAACATAAGAACTCAAAAATTTATAGAAAATGAGACAATGCCCTATGGGAAATTTTAGCATTTTTTTGGAAAAAAATTATTTTGGTTTGACAAGTAGATGACTTAGAAAACCAAGTTTTTTATTGATTTACATCTGTTCCACCATATTTACAAAAAAAAAAAATTAAATATATCTTAACACTTGACGATCGAGTGGTAAAAAGGAGTAAATTTTTATACCCGAGCGCACTTGTTTGTGCACAAGGGTATATTAACTTTGTTTACATAACGGTTGTTTGTAACAGCCAAAACGAATCGAGATAGATATAGACAAGTGCATACATAAATGCTCAGAATGAACAGAGTAGTCGATTAAGCCACGTCTGTCTGTCCGTCCGTCTGTCCGTCCGTCCGTGTACACGATAAGTCGAGCTAAAATTGAGATATCTTAACGAAATTTTGTATGTAGGTTTTCATTTATCCAAGGTAGGTTGGTATTGAAAATAGGCGAAATCGGAATGTAACCACGCCCACTTCCCATATAACGGTAATTTTCAGAATACGAAAACTGCGATATTTTAGTAACTACTGAAGATTATTCACTCAAAATTGATATTTACAATAAATTTTAGACGAAAAATAAGAACATTATAATGTTTTGGAAAATGGGCGTAGCCACGCCCACTTATGGTTACATGTGTATATCTTGCTAACCGCTACACCGATTTCTTCCAAACTTGTAACGGTTGTTGGCCTTGGTATAGCATACCAAACGGCCAAATATTTTTAAAATCAGACTATAACCACGCCCACGTCCCATATACCGGTAGTTTAGAGAAATACCAAATCTTCGATAAATCAATAAATATTTAACCTAATTTATTCAAAATTGATGCCTGCAACAATTCTTTACCAAGAAATAAGTTTATGATAAAATTTTGGAAAATGGGCATGGCACCGCCCACTTATGATCACATACATGTATCTCGGTAACCGTTCTACCAATTTGTACCAATTGGTATGGTTATTGTGCTTGCCACATAAAAGTAAAACGTTGCAAATTATTGAAATCGGACTAAAATTACGGCCGCTTTTCATATAACGGTAAATTTCAGAAATGCTTGAAACTTCAATATTTCGAAATTTAAGAACGCTAATTTACTCAAAATTGATACACCCCGGCTTACCATGTAGCGGTAGCTTTCGGAAAAGTGAAAAACATGTATTTAATATATTTAATGTTCGGCTCCGCCCGAACTTAGACTTTAATACTTGTTAATTTATATTTTTATTAAAAAAGTTTGAATTCAGTTTCTTTTTAATACTCTTATGAATGTAAGAAAAATGACGGTTAGTTACTCTGCACTATGGGAAATTTGACCCTATTTTGTGGCCAAAATTCTAAAAGTTGAGATATCAATTTAAAACTTGGCCCAGTAGTAGGACTAAAAGTAGTGGCCTTGCCGCGCAAAAATTAACCCGTAATGTCACACCTCCAAAAAATTGCGTAATGGTCACACGGGGTCCAGTGGACCCCAACCGAATAAACAGATGCCTCGTACGTTCTATTTTAAATATCGACTCGAATCCTCCACTGACCTTAAGTTTAAGACTTTCTCTTTGTTATCTGACAGGTTTTGTTCCAACTTTTAAATGATAACACCGTGAGTTATTTCATAAAACTTATGATTTTGTACCAAGTAGTTACCTAAGAAAATTTATAATTTCTTTAATATCGCACAAAATCGCAGTATAAGGTTATGGGGAGATAAGAGATCAGGGACTATTCTACCGATTTGTGATGAGCTTTTTTTAAACGTTCTTGAACATTTTTTTTTAAACACTAAATAAACCTTTTTTTAATTGTACAATTTCACTTTAAAGTCACTTAAATGCGGACGTTTCTTTGGTACAACC